CTTACAAAAGGGTAAACAATCAAGGAACATGATTTAATTAAGTAACCACACATCACTGAGTCTATATCTTCATTCTTTCTTGTAAAAATCGCTTTGATTGTGGCTATATAAAATAGGGAAGTAATATTTCACTGTACAACGAGCTCAAAAAGCTCGAGAACCAGCAATAAGATGGAAATAACCGGCAGAACCTTTAACCATCCACTGGCTCGCTAGTCGCTACCCCAGGTCGGTCGGTAGCCGGGTAGCCCATCAATGGAACCCGTTAGGCTCGCCCCTACCTCTCGCCACAAAAGAGACAAGAATTTTGCCTTGTTCCACACGCCTTTGATTGTTTTGAGGCGGGAAAACTATTTGTGTGCTACGGCCCGCGCAACACAGGATATTGTTTTCGTATTAGTTGGCCTTTTTCCAAGATGACCGTGACCGTTAACTTATTTTATGGACTCCCTTGGAGAATAATTCAAAACTACAAAGAACATTTCTAATCCCACAGTATACTAGCTATTTAAATTATAAACACTCCAAAAAATATTTTTGGACGATAAATTTTGCAGCTTTTTGAAATCATCCAAGATGGCCGCTTGCCTCCAAGGACTCAACAATAGGCCTAATTGTGCGACTATAAAGCAATAACTTCCCACCTTACGCTTGCGAATTAGTACGGTACATATTTGTATCCACAGTTGCCAGGACGACTATTAAGACGACCAAAGATTACATTGACATTTAGGTATTTAATCTGTAGAATAGTAATTGTTAAGTAATCTGGAAGACAACTAATTAAAATGAAGTGCGAAAGATGGGTTATGAGAGTGCTCAATGCCTGAAGCATAATCCATTTGTTTGAGGTGCGGATTTTCAAGCTTGTAGAACAAATAAATATCACAAAGTAGAAGGGCAGGGGTGAAAGTGACTGAAGTGACGGGATACCCGGTGGATTTTCAGTGACTGGATTCCAGTGGTATGCGGTAAAATATATAGTGACTGGCTTGGCAGCACAAATTTTACGTGACTGGCTTTCCCATGCAAATGCGGTGGTGACTGCATTAGCATAGCATTTTTTACGTAATTATATTTTAGTATTTTTAAGAAAAAAAGAGATATATACGTTCAGATATGTCTAGGCTTAAGATATTTACCAACATATATTATATATATATCATAGTCTTGAAATATATTGGGGGGTGCAACTGACTGACTTCCAGTGTATATTTTGTGTGACTGGCTTCCCGGGCGCGGCCGTGTATATATATATATATATATATTTATATATATATGTGTCCGTTAGCGCGATAACTCGAGCAAAAATGATCTGATTTTGATGAAATTTTG